TTTTGGTATAAAGTAAGACATAGATCTAATTTTATTTGTTCTTCAAAAGAGCAATTAGTCATCCTAATACCTTTTCCTACTTAATTTATGAATCACTTTTATCATATACTAAATTATTCTTTTTGAGTGCCTCTGAAAAATGTTCTAGTTTATAATTAATTTGCATCTGATTTATGACATAGTCACCCCATGTTAATCATCACAGCTTTATAACAGGATTTAGTAATATGTGTGACCTTCGATGAGGCCTGCCATGCACATAGTGCTCTTAGAAGAACTTAAAATAGAGTAGCATTTAATCTTTACAAAAGCTATATGTCATAGGAATCGCTGTCTTCATATTACAGATGAGGAAACTGAGGCAAAGACAGACTAAACATTCCAATTGACTCAAGGTGCTAGTAGATGGTAGAACCAGAATTTGTGCACTCAGCTGCAGCACCCACCTTCTTCACTGTCCACATCGTGAGTAATAATATCATGTTTATGGATATGCATTATGGGTAGGTTTATGCATGTCTCTTTCCTGAGTTTTTGGCTATTTACCTGGATGTTTTAGTTAACTTATAAAAAGGGTTTAGATTTAAATTATGTAAACAATTTTATTGCCCACTACTGACTTTTTAAGTCAGCTTCCAAATACTCAATTTATTACTTTGAAGGTTTTTTTTTCCTGTTAGTTTATTTTAAAAGATAGTATTTCAGAAAGAGTATGTGCTTCATTATAATCTTTTAGCCCTGTGATATCTGATACTACATTTTGTTAGTTCATGAAAAATAAACTGTTTTGCAATAGAAAAATAGCATTAACACTCTTTTCCTTTAAAATTCATAGAATTTGATTAATTTTATTAACCTGGCATATAATAATATAGGGGAAATTTCTGGACACGACCTGATTTTTTGTTCCAGTTTTAGCTACTTCTTTTTTGCTTATTTCTTCAAATACATTTGTAAAATAGTTGCTTTCATACTTTTATTAATTTTGTTAAAATTCAAAATTTCAACTAGAATGTATATGTCTAGGTACTTTTTCGTGAAGTTATCTTGCTTTGTGTGCAGTGAACCTTTTTGTAAACTCAGGTCTGTTTTCATCTCAGAAAATTGTCATTTATTAAGTTGAGTTTTGTTTATCATTTTTCAGCTTGTATCCTTTTGAAATTCCTACTATATTTAATATTATAGTCCTCTACTGCAACATTATCTTTGTCATTTACTTTATCCTTTTTCTGCCAATGTCACTGTCACTTTCCTTCTAGCTCATTTATTCACCAGGTATTTATTTATTAAGGACCTGCCTGGTATTAAAGTTTGCAATAGGTACTGAAAATAAAGGGGTGAACATCTTAGACATGGAACTCACCTTCATAAAACTGATGAACTAAGGAGACAAACAAATAGGAAACAAGGATTGTAAGAGCACTGCTAGAGGTCATTTCTTAAATTGAGTTGCTTTGGTTACCAACACAATGGTCTCCCCCTGATCTGTAATTTGTGAAGCTGGGGCTGGGACTCTTTTGCCAGATCCTGGCTCCTCATAAGTTTGCAGCAATAGGAGTGACAAAGGAGACTGAGTATGAGGAAAGGGGAGAAATACTTCCTGTTCATTTTCCGTCACTGTCCACATCGCCCCAGCAGTTTCTTCATCCTCCAAATGATAGTCCCTGCTCCCTTGCTGTTTTGTTTTTCCTATCCTCCCCAAACCAGCTTCATTACATCCCTCAGAGATGCCATGGTGGATCTGCCACATCAAGGTCTGGGTCTGAACTCTGTTAGTCCTTCTTTCAAGTTCCTAAGGTGCCAGCACCAATTGCACAGTGCCCCTCCAAGGGCATTTGGGCTCCCTTTAGGCTTTGAAGTTAATGTCCCCAACCTCTTCCTTGTGTCCTTCCATGCCATTCCCTGGGGTGTGGCCTGCCTTGGCTTCCTGCTGCTCTCCCTTTGCCTTGTTAATCCTCCAGTTCCTTGTAATAAGATTTCTGTTACAATAACTGGCTTGCTTTCTGTTTTCCTGGCTGCATCCTTGACAGATCTTTTGTTTCACTGGGTTTGTTTCCTGCAGTATTCAATATGCAGATTGTGTGTATTTATCCCTAACCCTGACACACATATATTTCTAACTCAGCTGTTATATTTTTCTTTTATAGTGGCAGTTTCTTGATCTCAGATATTATCCTATTCATAACTCCCTACTTTAGCTTCTCAGTTGCTATTTTCTTTTGACTTTAAAGAACTTGAATTAGAAATTGTCATGGAAAAAAATATTCTTGTCTTTATAGAAGAAAACATTTAATTTCATTTCTATGGTTTGTCTCCTTACTTTGTAATGTAATTCTTTTTTATATGGCTGAAGATGTTCTCCCTACTACTAGAGGTTGCATAGGTTCCTGTCTTAATCTTCCAAGCCTTGGAAGGAACACTTTTCAGAAACTTACCGGGTTGGGTGACCAGTTGTGAGAGCCATAGGTAAAACTGCAAGCATTGTGTCTAACAAGTTGTGTCCATAATTTTGAGTCTATTCAGTAACTAGCTGGAATTTGTTTACCCTTCTTAGAATTCAGGAATTCACCCTTATCAGGAGTCTGTGTTAGGCACTCATATCAGAAGCAGATCAGATTCTTGAGTTTCTCATTTGGCATGATATCTGGTACCTGATCAGCTGCCAGTTATCACTGATGGCTTCAAATATATGAGACCCTGCTTGTTCCCTGATCCTCCACCATGCCCTTTAGTCTTCAGTCTTTTCATCTGCACACTGGGTAGTGATAATGTGCTTCCTGTCAGGACTCTCCAGGGATTCCAAATGTCAAAGAGATAGGGTAGCAAGTTGTGTTGGTCCTTCTCTGAGGCTAATTCTTCCTGAGCTAGATCTACTAGAAGTTCCCCAGGTTTTCTGGTTTGTAGGTAATCCACTTTCCCAGTCTTAGCGTCCATACAGGGTTTTCTTTTTCACATGCATATTTAATTATCTGTTTCACTGAGCTGTCTTTTCAGCTGCTAATGTAGTTAGTGTGAAGTGTTTTGATAACCACAGAGGAAGCATTTAGTACCTTTTCTGTTTCTACTGAGCAAAGAAAGGAAATAGCATTAGAAGATGCATAGAAAGTTCCCCATTTGATTTTTGTACCTCATCTGGTTGAATACAGGTTATTTGGTGTTGTCAAAATTGCCATCTCATTGCCCAGCACTGACTGGGTGAGACATCCTTTATAAATCAAAGCAACCAAGGAAAAATGTGGGGGGTGGGAGGGCGGCAAACAAACCAAACGTGCCAGAAAAAAAACACAATTCTTTCCATTAGCAAGCTGGTATCTCTGGTATTACAGTAACTCTAACTCTGTTTTGCAAGTTGTGATTTAGTTCTGAACAGCCAGGTCCTACCTACCAAAAAGGACGTTCTAGGGCAGCAGAGGAGGATTTGCAATCAAATTATGCGAAAACACAGGATTCTGTGAGGGTCACTCACAGTTCATTCACTTGCAGTTTTCTGGTCACTTGCAGTCAACAGTTCTTAATCATAGGATGTGACGATTTACAGGCTGAGGATCTACACTTTGGGGGACAGCAGAAAAGTGAGAGAATGTATCCTTTCACCTGCCTGCATTTCAAGTCCTCCTGAGAGCTTTTGCCTTCCATGTACCCATGAAACCTCCGAATAGATAGCAGTGGTAGTCACAGAAGGCCTCTAGGAGGAAAAACATTAAAAGTAAAATTCATAGGAGTGAGAATCCACGGATGACTGTGCTTGTTATTCATTGAGGGTTTTTTGACTTGCTAAAAGCAAGTTTAATGTATTTATACAATTTATAAAGATGTAACTGATTCTGGAGCTCTGCTCTTTACAGGGAACATATTTCATGTTATTGTAAGCAGTGAAGAAAATTAAATCAATAAATCCACAGCCCATAATTTGAGATACTCAATTTGAAGAAAAATACATTGTCAGGGAGGGAGGGGGAAATCTTTTAAGTTGAGGAAGACTTGTTAACAACCCATCTTGGCTCTACTGCCCCATGCATTCAGGTGACAGCAAGAAGTACCTTATGCTGTAAGATTATCACAGTGTTGTTCTGACACCCAGGAAACAAAGGCCATCTCTCCACCTTTTCTAATGAACCATATGCTCAAGTGTAAAGTAGTGCAGATGAATCTCTTTCTGTTCTCTCTCTTTCCTTTCCTTCTTCCTTGTCTACCTCCTTCTTTTCTCCTCTCTCTCTGGCTGAACTATCCATCTGTGTTCTTTTCCCTGGTCAGCTTGGCTGGTTGGGAATCAGGTTGCTTAGTGAATTTTCCTCTCCAGTATTGATGCTTTCTATGACCACTGGCAAGCCAATTAACTTCTCCAAGTGTCATTCTTCCGTGTGTAAAAGGTTAATAGTGCAGCTTGTTTGCAAAATGCTTGGAGCCTCTATGAAAGGCACTACCCAAATACCCAATCTTGCTGTTTGAGGGTATCGTATTGTTTAATTACATATTTGGTTGGATAGGTTATAGATTTTGTTGTGGCCCCTTCTCCCTGGTTACAAATAAAAGGGCTAATAGGTAATCTCGCTCTATTACCATCTTCTCTAGCTCCCCCAGAGGGTTAAGGGAATGACAGAGGTTATAGATTAATAATGCACTCTGTAGTGAAAAAATAAAAAGTCATGGGCATCTCAGCTGCATTAAGAGTTGTGGATGGCAATTTATTAAACTAAGTGTTTCATCAGATGCTAAGCAGATAATGCTGGCAAAGACTCACAAAATTGTGAGGGGTTTTTTTCTCTGCTCCCCCAGTAATTTTTTTCTAGAACACTAGTAACAGTTTTGTTAAGATGTATTCCAATGTGTTTATGAATATTTGGAAAAATGATTCTCTTGTTCTGAAACTCCTGAAAGTGACTTGTTTGTATGTACCTGAATTATAACATTAAACTCCCTCTCTTGTTGCAGTGGCACCAGCCAGATATGAGTGGTACCAGTCCTAGAATAAAGCATCACACATCTGTACTTCTTTTCAGATTTACGGAAGAACTTTGAGCAAGATCCACAAGGCAGGGAGGTTCCCATTGAAGGCATGATTGTGCTGCACTGCCGCCCACCTGAGGGAGTCCCTGCAGCCGAGGTAAGACAGACTCACTGGGCACCAGGCCCTGTCAGAACTAGGCCTGTCCTGAGGGTGGAGGTGGAGCTGTGTGACTGCAACTGAGGTTAAAGAGCCTGTGTTTGGTATGTTTGCTGTCTGGACTCAGTTGCTAGAGACTATGAAGGGGATAAGCTAGGAAAGGATCTACCTCCATCTACTTTCTGGCCGACACAAAGCTCCTACTGGGCAGACCAGTAGAATTTGGTCTGTGACCTTGCTTTGGTGGCCTCAGATGTGTGTGCTCAGTTGGGGCCCCCGACTTGCACCTGGCATGTGGATTAAATCTGAGCATTAAGAACAGTGCTGCATAGTAAAGTGGCCAAGTAAGGAGGTAAGGCCTGATCCTGGGTTGCACTGATGGTTATGAGTCTTCACTTGCTGATGGAACAAGCATCCCCTGGATCTTTGTTATGTTGTAAGCTCTGTCTGTGCTGGTGTTAAGGATATAAAATGTGATAGAGCCACAGGTCTCTGATCTGTTATCCTTCCTTCCCAGTGAGGCATCTAGTATCCAGAGTCACTTTGGGGTTTTGCTCCTGACATGTTTTCTGGAATGTCTACCATATTATTATAATATAATTATAACTGAAAATACACTATGGCCATAGTGAAAGCTTTCTGATTCTTTTGGTCACTATTGGAAGATGTTCAGATGGACTAGTAATATACTTAAACTTCGGGAGAAAAACTCTGAAGTAAGAGCATGCTTAGAGCCAAGTGCCTGTGGCTCACACCTGTAATCCTAAGTACTCAGGAGGCAGAGGCTCACAGGTTTAAGCCAGCCTGGGCAAAAGGTTTACAAGACCCCTATCTCAAAAAAAAAAAAAAAAAAAAAAAAAAAAACACCCCAAAAAAAGGGCTGGTGAAGTGACTCAAGGTGTAGGCCCTGAGTTCAAGCTCCAGTACCACAAAAAAAACAAACAAACCATGATTAGTATAGTATTAGACCTGACTATAGCAATAAGTATGAAGCTAGGAGGCTGTCTTTGGAGCTATAGTTTATTCACTGAGAAGCAGCAGTACTTAAAACAAACAAACAAAAAAGCTTTTGCCTTATGTTTTAGCTAACATATCTAAGGTATTTGTAATTAGGAGGATTAAAGAAGAGAAAAGAAATGGAAACTCATACACACTTTCACAGTTATATAGAAACCATGCTGGCTGGACACTATTCAAAGCTCAAATGGTTCACAGAAATGAAGTAAATGGACTTGAAAATTGAAGTGAACACTCCATGCATGATATGAAATGATTAGAAAGGAAATGGTTATTTTTAGATATTTACTTAATGTGGAACAAAAATATATTGATCTTCTTTTGCTGCCTTCTTGCTCCCTACAAACAGTGTGTCCCCATTTCCCAAGCAAGGTGTCACATTCAAAGAGACTGTGTTGTTCTGGTTTACAATGTCCCACATGTTCACAGGGTCTACCTGAAATACCATCTTCTATCCAGTCCCTTCTTCATCTCTCAAAACTTCACCTTACTAACGGTTCAGCACAAAAAATATGCAGCCTTTGCCATATGGTCTGGGTGAAGCAGTCCCCTGATCTATGCAACATTTCCTTCTGATTCAGTGCTAGGTCACAACTGCCAACCAAAGAGACAGAGGGGTCAGGAGGGAAAGAAGCTAATTTTTTTATTAACAACCTGCCTGTGGGAACCTACTAAACTCTAGATGTCTAGAAATCAATGTTTACAGCTGGAGGAGAGCTTAGATATTTACCTGGCACAACCTTTGCATTTTACAGGCAGGAAAACTGATGTTCAGATCAATGACCTACCAAAGGCCTTGCAGCCCTGTAAGGGCTTTCTTCAAAATCTCCAACAGTACCTCAGGCACTCAGGCTTAACATGTGTTTTCTTCTGTATCTTACAAGGCCCAACACAATCTGGCTTGTTGTTTTCTCCTCTGCATGTGACCCCACTTCAGCCACATTGTCTTCCTCATTCTTTCTTAGATGCACCAACTAGGCTCCTACCTCAGGTTCTTTGAATGTGCTGGCCTTTGCTAGAACGTTCTTCCCCAGCTTTTTTATAATGCACTGTCCTTCTTCCTTCAAGGCTTGCTAAAATATCACCTGCTCATTGAGGCCTGCTCTGGACACTCTTGAAAATGTCACTTCCCTACTCCATACCTATACTTAAAGCCATTCCCCTGCTTTCTTTTTTTTCTCTTTATTGCTTATCACAAGCATACTGCATTTGCATTGCTTTTTGTCTGCATACCCAACTCAAATTATTTTCCATAAAGGGGGGTTTTGTTTATTCATCAGTATCCTCTGAACATGAAACTGTGCTTCTCATGGGTGTTATCAATAAGATCAAAGATGCTGGGTACTGATGGCTCCCACTTGTAATCCTAGCTACCTGGGAGGCTGAGATCAGGAGGATTGCTGTCCAGGCCAGCCCAGGAAAATAGTTCATGAGACCCCCATCTCCAAAATAATCAGAGCAAAATGGATTGGAGGTGTGGCTAAAGTGGAAGAGCAGCTGCTTTGCACATGCAAAGTCCTGAGTTCAAACCCCAGTTTCACAAAAAAAAAAGGAAGATAACAAGTGTTGGTAATGAGTGGAGGAAAGGGAACACTTGTACACTGTATGTGGGAGTGTAAATTAGCTCAACCATTATGGAACATTATGGAAAACAGTATGGAGGTTTTTCAAAAAACTAGAAATAAAGCTACCATATAATCTAGCAACTGTACTGTTGGGTATATAACCAAGAAAATAAAGTCATGGTGCATTTCTGCACCACCATACTCACTGTAGCACTAAACAATAGCCAAAATATGGACTGAACCTCTTATCCATCAGCAAGTGAATGGAGAAAGAAAATGTACATGTCAACCTTTAAAAAGTCATTGATTTCATCCTTTCATTGATGACATTGATGTCATCCTTTCCTTGATGACAATAAGGTTGAACCTATAATATATTATGTCAAATCAAATAAGCTAAGCATAGAGTGCTTATACCATCTTGTTAAGTGTAGAAACTGAAAAAGCAGAACTCATAGAAGTAGAGAATAGAATATGGTAAACCTGCTTTATTCATAGATTTATTACATATAATTTTGACCAAGCATGATCAAAATAATTAATTAGAAAATTATTAGTGGTTCACACCTGCAATCCTAGCTACTCAGGAGGAACAGATAAGAAGGATCATGGTTCAAAGCCAGCCCTGGACAAATAGTTCATGAGACTCTAATTCAAAAAAACCATTACAAAAAAAGGCTGGCATAGTGGCTCAAGAAATAAGAGCTCCTGCCTAGCCAATGTGAGGCCCTGAGTTCAAACCCCAGTGCCACCAAAAAAAAAAAAAAAAGAAAAGAAATTTCAAAAACAAAACTTTTAAATCCCTGTGCTCATGTTACACAGCTCAGTAGATGAGGAGAAGCTCTGGGTCAACCGCACATTATTGTCAGTTGAGTTTATAGTGTTGTGTGACCAGCTGAGTGTTGCCCTGCCCTTAATTTTGTGAACATCTGCCTCCCCCAAAGCAAATGGTACCCCAAAAGCAGGGTAAAAGTTAATGTGCTTAATTGAAGTGATAAAGTGACAATTTTAGATAAGTTGAAAGATGGCATGTCTGTAGCAGGAGTTGGGTAGTGTTGTGGGAAAAATTAATCGAGCCTCTGCAGCATAACCCTGGACTCTGTGTGCTGTAAGCACATGTGTTTTTAATTCAACACTGGCCTCCTTAGAGCCAGATACCAGTGGGTACCAAGGGTCTGCTGTATGTAGTGGATAGCAAGAGCTGAGGGTGTGGGTCAAAGGATACAGAATCTAAGTAAAGAGGAATAAGTTTGAGAGCTGGTAAGTATAGCTACAACAATGTAGCTATCCTTAATGACAACAATTGTATTATTAAAAATTGATGACAATGGATTTTTAGTGTTCTCACCACAAAAACTGATAAGCAACACATATACTGGCTAGGTCATTTTACCCATTCCATAATATATTCCATAATAATATAACTTACTTCAAAACAATATGTTGTGCACAAAAAAATACCCATAATTTTTCTCAAAAAAATTAAGATAAATACAAAAGTGCTTCTCACATCAAGATTATCGATAAAATATTTGTCAAATATAAATGACAACTAATTTCCTGAGTCTGTTGATGAATATTTGAGGTTGTACCAGGATTAGTTCCATGTAAAACCTAAAATCTATTAGACTTTGGTTTGTTTTCATCTCATTACTAGCTACTAGCAATTGAAAACATTCCCCACCTGCTCTTTGAAGACAAATTTGAAAAAGGAAAGAGTAAAGGATGTACAATCTTATAAGACAATAGCCAAAAGCAAAAATATTACCTTGACCATGAACCTGTGTACTACCACCACCCATCCCACTCCTACACATTGAAGCATCTTCTGAGATGCCCATGAACAAGGAATGGAGGAACACCATACAGACTTCAGAAAGAGGGTGCATTTTATTTTCTGTACCTACTCTTCTGCCACATTTGAAAACTATAGACATTAACATCCCAGGACTCCTAAGACATAACTACAAACACAGGAGCTTACAACAATACAGATTTATTCTATCACAATTCTGGAGGTTGTGAGACTGAAATCAAGAGTACTCTGAAACAGAATCTGTCCTAGGCTTTCCTCCTGCCTTCTTGTAGTGGCTGACAATCCTTAGTGTCCCTTGGCTAATACACACATTGCTGCAGTCTTCACATGGCATTCTCCTTTCTGTATCTGTGTGTCTGAATTTTCCTCTTATGAGGATACCAGCCATTGTGTCCTCAAATTGAACTGGTCTGTCCCAATCCAGTGTAGCTTTATCTTATTTATTACTATAATCACAAACATTGGAAACACTCAATTTCCAAATAAGGTCACTTGCACCAGTTCCAGGTAGACATGAATTTTGAGGGATAGGGAATTCAGCCCAATACACTTCCTATTCTGTCTTTGATATCATATTACCCTTTATTTTAATAGTATGTATA